TTAATGGCTAATCTTTCTCTTGATTGTGATCTTAGCAGCTTAAGTTATATCTATAAAAATCAATTGGCTATTTTCTTAACACCACTGTTTAAACGTTTTATAGAGTCTTTTTGATTTAACAAAAAGGGGGAGAATAAAGTAAAGGGAGTAATTTTCAAAATTTATTTCAAAAATGATTTTCAAAGAAAATCTTAAAATTACTTAAATGGTTTTTATATCAAAAAGGGGGAGATTGTTGAAAACATTTTGATTTTTTGATATAACAAATAAAGTATAAATGAATTTTAAGATTTTATATTCGATTTAAAAATAATATTCGATTAAATTATTCGAATATCAAGAATATTACTACAAGTTTTCAAATGTCAATTTCAATCCTTACTAAGTGTAAAATTATGTTTTGGTCTTTAAATATTTTTGAAACAATTTTTACAAAGTATTTCGAACCTTAATCGAGCCAAAAATAATTTTTACAAAGGGAGGTATCGATACACTCTTGGATGTATCGATACAACCCCAACATTGAATGTAATATGGGTATTGATACATAGCTGATGTACCGATATACCCCTGGCTCAGAAAAACATCGAATGTAATTAGTGTATTGATACACCCCAAGTGTATCGATACACTAGGTCAACCAACGGTCGAAATATTTGAATTTAACACTGAGTGTACCAATACACCTTGATAGTGTACCTATACACCCACGCTCCCAACAGATTTTTTAAATGATATTCACACCATAACGGATCTATTGACTTCACCAATGATCCCTCAACGTTCAGAAGTGATCCAAGGTGTATATAAACAAGTTTTGAAGCCATTGATCAACAACAATTAAGAAGAGAAGCTAGAGAATCAAAGAGAAAGCATCAAACCTCAAGTTTGAGCATTTCAAGCCTATATTCATTCAATATTCATTTTTCTTTCAAGAATACCATTTGTGCTCAATTGTATTCATTCTTGAGTGTTCTTTCTTTGTTCTAGAATTATGCAAACAACTTGTCTTGTGAGGTGTCTCTGTAAGTTTGCAAAATTTGTATTGTTCTCTTTGAGAGAGAGTTTTCTCAAGAATTTGGGGTATAATTCTTGAGTGAGTGTAAGGTTACTCTTTTTCCTCAAAAGAAAGACAAATTAGTGAATTTATGGAAAATCCTTAGTGTGGATAGGTAAGGTAGTGGACGTAGACTTTGGTTGAGAAAGTCCAACAACTCTAAATCGCTGTGCAAATATTTTCAATTTTCTGCAAAAGCTTCCACCAAAATTTTAATTGACAATTCACCCCCTCTTGGCTATTTCGTCGATCGATTAACTCAACAATACTTAACTATAAAAACACATCTACATCCTACTATTTTCTTCCCTTTTGGCAGTTTCACTAAGTCTTAGGTTTTATTCATTTATAGTGCTTCCATTTAATCTTTCATAACCTTTTTCCAGTTCTCATTCTTTAATGCCTCAAAAGTAGTCTTAGGAATGGTAATGGTGTTTAGGCTGGCAAGGAAAGCTTTGTGGCTAAGGGATAGGTTTTTGTAAGTCGTGAACAAGTAGGATGGATGTTTAGTGGTACAAGTTTTTTCCTTTTCTAATAGCAATGGGAAATTCAAAATCAGAATTAGACATAACATTTTCAGTAGTTTGATCAGGAAGAGTTTCAGATTGTACAGGAGTAGGAGAATGGGATGATTGAATATGCATATGTGTCTTCTTCCTTGAATTGACTAATAGAGGACGAGTAGTGTCCTGGATGGCTAGTTGTCGTGTATTTGGTTCTGGTTGTGGAGAAATTGGAGGAGGAGTAGGTTGAGCATGCTGTGTTTTTTGTATTTGGTCAGACTGTATAGGTGTAGGGAAATCAATAAGGGGTTGAAGTAGGAAAAATCAACATCCTTATATTCCTTAAATGATATCTCCCCTGAAGATAAGGAACAGTAAAGTAACTATTTCTTTCAACAAAAGTAAAATCAGTAGAGGTGGAGTATTTTCTTGTAGGTGGGTGATAACATTTGTAGTTTTTTTAGTGGAGTAGCCAATAGATATGCATTTTAGTGCCCTTGGATCAAGTTTTCCCCTTCCCTGATAATGTATATGAATAAAAGAAACACACCTAAATATTCTAGGTTTTAGGTTAATAGATGGGCTAAAATTTGGATAGAAATTTGTTAGGACTTGAAGAGGACTCTAGGATTCAAGGACCTTAGTGGGTAGTCTATTTATTATGTAGGTGGCAGTTAACGCAACCTTTCCCCAGTAATAGAAGAGGCTAAATATTCGAGGATTTAGGTTAATAGATGGGCTAAATATTCTTTGTTTTGAAATAGAAGAGCTCTTGTAGTGGCAAGGATGTGATTATTCTTCCTTTCAGCTACACCATTCTGGTGTGAAGTGTTAACACAAGATGATTCATGGATGATACCTTTTTTCTAGATAGTAAGGAGATAATATTTGGTTAAAGTAGTCTTTGGCATTGTATGGTCTGAATCTTTTTATTTCAGTCCCAAATTGGGTTTTAATCATGGTGTAGAAGGTTTTAAAAGTAGCTGTAACAATTGACTTTTATTTTAGGAGAAAGATCCAAGTAACCCGAGTGCAATCATCTATGAATGACACAAACCATCTAGCCTCAGTTATGTTAAGAATAGTGGAAGGCCCCCAAACATTGTTATGAATAAGAGTAAATGGGTTGGTAGTCATTTTATTGCTTGCTTGGAAAAAGGCAAGTCTATGTTTTGCAAGTTCACACACTTCACAATGAAATTCTTCAGTACTTAGGGAATTAAACAAAGAGGGAAACATAGTCTTTAAAACATTAAAAGGTGGATAACCAAGGTGAAAATGGTTTAGCCAGATTTGGTCTTTATTGGCTGTAGATTCTGATAAGAGTGAAAGAGGTTCCGTATCCAAGATTCTAACTGGTCTACTGATTTCTTCAAGGTAGTATAGATTGTTTACTTCCTTAGCACACCCAATCATCCTCTTCGTTTCTTGATCCTAAAAAATACATTGTATATGATAAAACAAAAATTGCAGTTAGTATATTTGATAAGTTTCTAGATAGATATGAGACTGGTAAACAATTTTGGTACATATAGGGTATTTTTAAGAATAAGGGTTTCACTTATGGTAATATATCCTTGAATAGCAATTGTTATGATAGTGTCATCTGCAACTGTGATTTTCTTACTACTAGGACAGGGTGTGTAGGTAAGGAATTTGATAGAGGAATTAGTCGTATGGTTTGTGGCTCCTGAGTCAATTATTCAGGAATTTCAGACAAGTATGTGGGTAGATAGTTTCGAGACATTAGAATCCTGAGAAGAAGAATAAGATATACCTGAGAATACCAAATTGATGTACCTGTAGAGGAAGGTTTCTCCAAGGATTCCAGTAGACTCTTTAATTTTTCAACTTCTTCCTTGTTGAACTCAGCAGATTATTCTTCAGCCTCCTTAACAACTTGTCTAGTTGTATATGCTCTGCTCTGTCCTCTTGATGAACCCCTTCCTCGATAAAATTCTTTATTGATTGAGTTTTTTCATGTAAACTCAAACATTTATATTTAGTGTGGCGTGCTTTCTTGTAGTTAGTACACCATAAGGAGTCTTTGTTAATTGTCCTTGTTGCTTTTGGTCTAGCTTCAAAAGTATGTTGTTCAAGGCGTGTTGGTTCCTCAATTATAGCCCTAGTGGCCAAGGTTGAACTCTCTATTTGGCTATTTTCAACTACCATCACCCCATTATTCCATCTTCAGTCCGAATGATAGCAATGGTCTCGTTCAGTGAAGGCAAATCTTCTTTTCCTAGGATCTAGACTTTTACTGCATCAAACTCAATGTTCAATCCAACAAGAAAATCATAAATCCTTTCTCTCTCAATAAACCTTTTTAGGATTGTAGCATCTTCACTACATTTCATTTGAATGCATTGATAATGATTGATTTCTTGCCAAATATTCTACATCAGGTTAGAATTTTCTGTAACTGACTTGCTTCCTTGTTTAGTAGATGAAACCTTGCTCTTGATCTCATAGATCTGGGCATTATCTTGGACCTTTGAATAAGTTTGTTTCACATCCTCCTATATCTCCTTGGTTGTCCTAAGAAACATACATGTGTCACTAATCTTAGGCACCATTGAATTCCAACACCAAGACATAACTAATGAGTCTTTCTCATCACAAACTTCATACCTAAGGTCTCCTTCTTTAGGGCCAGTTCCTAGGAGATGACTGAGTTTACCTATTCCTTTTAGGAACGTTCGAACTAGTTAGGACCACTGAAGATAGTTCTTACCATTCAATCTATAGGTTGCTTGTATATTTTGTAAGTCACTAATAGGATTTGGGTGACTTACTTAACTCATTGTTCCTCTTTGAATGGTTTCAGCTCCACTGGAATCAGCCTCATCACCCATATTTTTGTTGGGAAGATACTTGATTTTTTTAAGGGAGTTTAAAGGCTAAGTAAGATTGTTTAAGTGAGGATAACTGGACTAAAAAAGAGCTGGAGAGGCTTTAATACCATGTTAACACTGGTTTATCTCTCCATCGATAATATTTCTTTATGTAGAAAATACACTATTTAAATATATACATTGTTGTCTTATCTTAAGAAACTACTAAGCTAGGTAAGTAATTGGTTCTAGGAGTCATTCTAATCCCTTAAAGTTAGGGATCCTAATTAGTATAATATATTTATAAAGATCCTACATAATCTTCCTAATTTAGGAAGCTAATCTCTGACACACACATATATATTAAAAAATTATCAACTAACAAATAACAGACCTAGAAGTAATAATTCATGGGAAAAAACACCATAATAACAAAAAAAAAGATGACGAACAAGTAAGAATTTAAACTAATTATACTACAAAAAGCCCTATAAAAACCCTAATTTACATCATCCATCAAAATATAAAGCAGCTAAATTCTATCCAGATATATATTACATCAATTTTTTTAAACACAGAAAATTAAAAAAGTGAAGCAAAGAAAACCTCATGGTTCGAACCATAACCCTCTCTCCAGTACTTATCAAATTGTAAACAAACCAGAGATCATCTGAATCTACCGGTATCATCTGCAATGAAATATATTTCTTTAGAAAGAAAAGCTCCAATTTCAAAAAAAAAAAAAAAAAACTTCTATATACCTTACGATGCCAGGGCTGTTGGGAACTAGGTCTCTGTGTACAATTTTCATGATTTTACTTCAAAATCTGTGTCTTTTGGAGTATTTCTTTAATTCACTTTAAAATCGAATTTACGCTGACCAAAATTGAACTCCTAAAAATATAAACACAACAATGATGTAGAAAATACATTTTAAAAGAACAAAATTTTCAGATGCAACTTAAAGGAAGATGGCGCTGAGAGATATAATGACGCGAAATTATATAAGCTTTACACGCTTATGCAATATTTCATGCTATGTTCGTGTAGATTATGCACTTTGAGTTTGAAGTAAATTGAAAAAATCTAACAATTTATTCTTGACAAGAACTTGGGGGAGGGAAGAATCTTAACAGACATACAGAATTGAAGTTTTAGGTGCCCGAATCAGAATCTAATTAAACATAAATTGTATAAAAATTATGATAAAATTAATTCATTTAGCTTTGCACTAGGCGATTTGATCATCGAATGTTTAAAAGCCTAATTTCTAATCAGAGACAAGATTAAAGGGGAAAATAGGTAAAGATGATTAAATTTTATATGTTATATACAAAAGAAGTGGTAATTTAAAACCCTAGGATAAAACATTAAAATTCTAAAGCAAGATCAGAACTTTTTAATACCAATTGTTGTTATTTGAAAATATCAATTCTGTATACATGTGACCGCCTGGATTCAGTCGTAACGTCTAGGCCGGGCTTAGGAGGTTATATTTTCGTTACATTTTTAGGTGTTTACCGTTAAAAAACCGTTAAGTGACACGTGTCACGTCTATATTTGTTATTTAAAAAAAATATAAATGTGACACATGTCACTTAATGATTTTTTAACGATAAACACCTAAAAATGTAATGAAGATGTAACCTCTTAGGCTCGCCTGAATAAAAAAATATAGACGTGACACGTGTCACTTAACGGTTTTTTAACGGTAAACACCTAAAAATGTAACGAAGATGTAACCTCCTAGGCCCGGCCTAGACGTTACGACTGAATCCAGGCTATCACATGTCGTATACATAATTTTCTTTCCATATTTAAAACGTACTTAAAACCCATTCTAGTAAATAAAATACATATAATAGTAAAATATTGATATAATCATCAGAAAAGTCCATATGGTAAACATACAGAGATATTAGTGTTGGAAAATAAAATATCAATAATACAGATACGGGAAGATAATAGTAAAAACATGTGCCACCTAAATATAACAAAAATGGCATACAAAAATATACAGTGGTACAAAAGTGAGGAGAGATTGATTCTTCTGATGCCAAGTCTGTTATTAGCCTACTGTCTCGTACTTTTTGAAAAGTTAAAAATTAAAGAATGAGCTAAAAATTAGTGTTCTCCTTGTGGTGTATAAAAACATCCAGATTAAATACTTCGATAAAAGTTGATTTACGAAATAGGTTTTGAAAACATGAACACTATCCCCATCCAATCACCAGAATATATAGGTTCCTATGAACCATACACCATCTTGTACACCCGGTAAGGACCTTATACTGATAGCATAAGGGTATGCGGTAAGGTCTTACCCTGTGCATAAAGTATAGGAGCTTGTGGCAAGGTCTTACAAGTATAGACTAGGCCTGAGATACTCACTTTAATCATACCCCAGTGATAGTAAATGTGCATGTATTTGACTGAAAACAATAATTTAATTTATTAAAACATTAAAACATGTCATATTCCAAAATCAGATACAAAAATATGGTAACTAAAGATCATGTCAGAAATATACGGTAAATCAGATATTATGCAGTCATAAAATTTAATATAATCAAAATTTTAAAAATAGTTTAGACATATAGTTCAAAACAACATTGTAACACCAATAGGAACACACTTGTATCGTTCTGAGTAGTTCGATTGGGTGGCCTACTATCGGGTCTGCCTAACACAGTCAGCGACATTGCTTGATCATACGAATCAAAATATTCGTATCAAAATCCTAAAATAAAAAATAATAAACTTCAATTCAACTATTTATAGAAATCTACGAGTAGCTTTCGAAGAACATGGACCATACATATCTATTGGAAGGGAAGCGTCAGATCTAGTCAACACTTAATGATAGGAATCACGAGTACCTTCATGAAAATATAATCCCAAATTAATCCATTAATCAAAGCCCAAATAACTATGCAGAAATGCTAAAAATACTAAGGTGGTGTTTGGTTCGCTGGAATGTTTATGAGGGAATTAGAATCTGTGAAGGAATTGGAATCTGAATCTGAAACCTGTTTGGTTGGCAGGAAATTGAATTGGAATCCAATTCCATATTTTGTTTGGTTCGCAGACATGTCAGATGAATTTGATTTCAGTAATATAAAATGATATAATTGCTCTTCTTGTTTTTTTGCTTAATTTTAATTTGTTTTATAACTTACATGTAGCAATATATTATAAAAATTTAAAAAATATTAAATTTTCATTTTATTGATTGATTATTCATTTCAATAAATTATAAAAATCATACTAATAAACATTATAAGTTAAAATCATCCCAATTAGGGACGGTAATGGGTCGGGTTGGGTCAGGTTTTTGGTCCACCCGACCCGAGAACAAGGGAACCTCCACCCGAGACCCGACCCGACCCGACCAAAATAAAGGTTCACCCGACCCGACCCAAACCAAATATATGAATTAGAAACCCGACCAGACCCGAAATAATAAAAAAATATTTTTATTCAATAAAAACAGTGACTTAATTGAAAAATATTATATATAGAGGGGTATTATTGTAATTATATCTAAATATATAAGGTAAAATTATATTTTTTTCGGGTCGGGTCGGATATTTTTCACCCTAAACCTGAATCCGACCCGAATATCACACTTAAAAAAACCTGACCCGACCCGAATATCAAACTTAAAAAAACCCGACCTGAACCCGAAATTTTTTAAAAAAATCCGACCCGAATACCAAAAGATTGATGAGGTTAGTATGGTCAAATTTCACATTCACTGTAACACCCCCAACCCGTATCCGACCCGGATCCGAGTCCGAGGTATCACATTGACTTTTCAAAACTTTTGCTTGTACAAAATTAATGAATAATTTCAAACTTTTAAAACATATAACTTATTCAAAACGTTTATAAAACTATTCAGAGCTTATACAATACATTATTTTGAATACATGCCAACTAAAACTTTAGTTGTTAACATACATATTATTCATCTTTCTTCTAATCTGACCTTCGGCAAGGAGAACTGACCTGTCTTGCTCCACATTGCTCTTTACTCTTCTCACTTCTGTAACCTACGTGTGAAACAATCACACGCTAAGTCTATGACTTAGTGAGGCAATAAACATATAATGTAAACATTTACTAGTAATCATTTCTTACAACTCATATACTGTTATATGTAACAAATACATACATACATACATACATACATATATGTCATTATCATTCATATCTCTTATCTCCTGTTCCTATGGTCTTTTATGTCCATAAAATATATCTGATAGACTTGCTATTATATCATCATGTCAATCAATTATACTCATTCACATATACCTTAACATGTACTCACGTATACCATATAACATATATATATATATATATATATATATATATATATATATATATATATCATGTCATGTAAAACATATATCCTATCGTAAATCAAACACACAAGCAACTATATCATCATCTTCATTCTTATCACTATCATTGATTCCTTTTATCATATAATCTTATAATTACCATTTGTACCTTCATATATCACACATAACATTTTATAAGGAAACAAACATATCATCATATCCAGTTTATTAATATTATCTCTTTATTAGCCCATGGTATACATGTTAGAACTGTAGATACGTGAGGTCATAAAGAACCTCGAAAACTGTCCATAGGTCCCGAAGAACCTAGGTAAACTGTCCATATGTCTCGAAAGACATAGGTAAACCCTCGACTCTTGGCATGCCAACTATACCCTAGCTCTCATATCACATAACATGGGCATTATCATTTATAACATTTCATATCACTTGTTATTTCTCTTCTGTCACATACCACATGTATGTGTAACCATATATCTCATATCATATCACATGTATCACAAGTGCATGTATTCACGTAAATCGTTTCATATGACTTACACCATTTCTCATTTGTTCATATAACTCGCATGTCATATCATGTAACATATAACACATAATCATATAGGCTCACGGTTTTATCACTTATCATGTTATTTCACATATACACTTTTATATCACATAAACTCATATATATCATGTCACATGTAATAACATATGACACATATACCCATAACTTCATATCACATACTTATATCAATTCACACTTAGTCACATGGGTCATTTCTCATAACATATATCACATCACATATGTTCATGGGTATATCACATAGCATATAAAATAATATATAAAGTTATATATGTATTAATGTGTATACTTTCATCTAGCCTATATATCAATGTTATATAACTTATCTCATAACTTATTTGATATTCCTATATATTCTCATCTTATAACTTATATTACCTATGCATATAACCTTATGACTTATTATCAAGTACTCAATTAATGTTCCTATATGGTTCCATCTTTATCATATAACATATGAGCTATTCTTATATTACCCTATATCAACCATACTTTGTTTATCTCACTTTTCATATCATTCATTTATCACATATATGTCACTTTGCTTATAACACTTCTCTTGTTTTCATATGACATGTAAATCATTGTCATCTCTTGTTCTCATATAATTCCATATAGTCACTTATCACTTATCACATAGTTTACATCCTATGATCATATAATCATATCAATAACACATATACTCATGCACACATATAAATCATAACAAACACATACCTCTATGAATTCATGCATTTTACTATTGGAAATAGACTTATCATAAGTCTTATTTTCCATTTAACATCATATACTAAATAATGTGCACTCACCTTGGCCTCACTAAGTTTCAATCCACTTTATAATTTCCTCTCTTTCGATCGAATCTTAACTTGATACACAACCCGGAACTTGTTCGTGTTCGATATCTACATAATTATACATTGATACAT